CAAGCGGACGAGTTTGTCTGTAGCCTTTGTTCTTCGCATTAATTGATTTAATTATAAGTGCGTGTTGCAACAGTGCCACAAATAACAGTAATATAGATAGTAATATATACTATATTATTTTGCATTAAAAAAAAAAAAAAAAACTAAAACAAATACAAATCGAAAAACAAAATGTTGCAGCAGATGTTCAAATATTTGCTCTAGGTTTCCTTATATTTTTAATTGGCGCTGAGTGAATATGGAAAGCCAGGCATCTAGCAGTTTCTATATATATATATATATATATATATGTGGGTGGGTGTGTGTGTGTGTGTGTGTGCGTAACTGTATCTATATCTAACACGCATTTGCATGTAGAGCTGGTGCTAAGTCAATAGACCAACCCCGCCGCACCCCGCTAAGCCCAAGTTAGCTGGGCCCGACTGATAGCCAGCCGCAGCTGACAGCGTTAAAGTTGACAGCTCAGCTATCAGGCACACACACGCACACACACACACACACACACACCATTGCATGCTAACAGTGAACTTGAAAAGGTTATTAAAAATTCAAGTGCGGTAGTTGGGTGCTAAGGTAAACAGACGACGGCGATAACTTTGTCAACTGCAACATCGGCAGCGTGAGTGAGAGAGAGCATAGGGCCAGTCGGTGTGTATATAATACAAGTTGACCCATATTGTCGCACTGTCGAGATCGTGGATTTTCCGCAATCATGATTTATGCAGTGTTTATATACATATGTTGCCTGTCAGCCAGCTGCCCAAACGCACAGCACAATACAATGCTCGACTACGATATGCCCTGTATTTAGCGTAATCACATACACCCTTATACATATACGCCCATTGCACTAGTAATTTAACGGTACTGCTTATGTAAGCCAATCCTGTTAAGATAACAGCTGTTAAAATACCGATTGTCACAATATGTTCATAATTCTGTTAGCATAAATTTAGGCAATACCAAATTATTTTCTACTCTTTATGTTTAAATAATAGTTTATAGAGTTATAATTATTGTTTATTTTATATAACTATTTACAAAGCCACAAAAAAATTAAAGCTGTATTGTTTCTCTCTGTATGGGATAAATTTTGCAAATATCTGTTCAGAAAATTAACAACAAAAAGCTTATATAATTTCATTTTCATTGAGCAGAGTATGTAGGAAATGCGCTGTAATTAAAAAAAAGAAAAAATCATAATGATAATTGCAAAAACAAAAAAAAGCAAGAAATTATCTCAAATTTGTATATAGCAGAAAATATAAAATGCTGTGTTCTTCAAACAAAAAATGCATCAGAAATAGAACTATAAAAAAAAAGTAAGAGAAAAATGATAATAAATATAAATAAATAATGGAAATTGTTGTTGCTTAGCTCGACAGATGTTAGGGTATTTACAATGCGTTAAGCTCAATGGCAAACAGCAAGCAAAGTTGTTGTTTCCTTCACTTTTCTAAGAAGCGACAATTTACGAGCAACTGCGGTACTCGTAAAAATGATTTGCATTTTGTTGTGGCACACACACGCACACACACACTCACACAGATGTATCTGTTAAGATATATACCATATAGATATATTGTGTTTTGTGTATACATTAAATTTTAACTGTGCAACTCGTTCTTAGTCAGCTAAAATGGCACTCAACTCTCTGTCTGAGTGCATATCATAATTATATTCAAATTAATCCTATTCTCATCGCAATTATGCAACGCCTCAGATTTAATTAATGTGCCAAGCTGGACTCTAGGTCTGTGCACGTGCTCAGCTCGGCCGATTACAATTACATTTACAAGTCTATCAATATGCCGTAAATGATAATTGTTGCAAATATCATTTAAATTGAGCCATTTACTAGTCGCCCCTTCCCACAGCCCCCATAGCCCCATAGCTGTGGGAGACTGGACTGGACTGGACGTTGCGGCTTGGACCAGATTTGTGCAGATTCTTTGCACTCTAATTGAAAGAGTCCGTTTGCAAATTAAATCGCGCCAACAGTCTTATACACCCATTCACACTGCGTATACGTCATATTTGTATCTATATATATATATATGTACATGCAGCGGGCCTTAAGCATAAATATATATGTAAATGCTTAAGTGCCGCAGCAAACTACAAAATAGAAGACTTATATAAGCGTGGAAGAGTTTGTTAAGCACTTTATAAGAATCAATCAAAAGCTGATAAGAGCAACCCGAAACTAATCGAAGATGCAAGTAGTATAAGACGCAGCAAACATGCACACATTGGCATATGGTTCACTTAGTATAAGAGTTGAGGATGCGCCAAAAGCCTTGCTCGCATGCCAAAAATAGACGATATATAGTATAACAGCTGGTAGCAGAGCGTAAAATGTCTCACAGTATAAGAAAAACGCCAAATAAATAATGCTTAGCGCTACTTATAAAATGTAAGCTACTATAAATTTAAGAAAAATAACACGAATTAACATAATAATGTAGCGAAAAATTAAGGATTTTTATAAGACTACAAAATGTGCCAAGTGTCTAGTGCTGCTAAAATTAGTCAAAAACTTTCTAAACTAATCTAAAAATTAAAATGCAAGAGCAAAATTATGTTTGTATTTTTTTTTTTTTTTTTTAGTTTAGGTTCCCAAGTGTAATACTTTTCCTGGTATAAGACCTTATCTACGTATTTCGGGGGTGCATTATTGCTTTTATAAGACAGTGTAGACGAGCTTTGTATGCAAGAAAAACCTTGCGAAAAAAACTAAAAATAAACAAAAGAAAAATAATAAAAAATGGAAGAACAACATTTAGAAATCTAGCAGCAGCAGCAGCAACAGCAGCCAGGGCGAGAACTGTTAACGAGTATAAGAGTGACATTTCGGCAGCAACTAACGAAAGCCAAATAAGCTGACACACTGAGAATAGACAATGCAAAAAAAGGCAGCACATAGATGAGCTATAGAAGTATACATACATACATATAGATGTATATATATATATGTATGTATATGTAGATACTTTTAGCTGCGCTTGAAACGCTCGTGACGTCTGCTGACGGCGATGACAAAAGATGACGAAAAGCGAAGCCAAAAGCGACACGACGTCGGTTCATTTAAGCAAACAAATAAATAATTAATAAATTAAAAAATGAAACAATAAAATGGCCAGTTGTTTGTCAATGTTGTTGTTGTTGTTGTTGTTGTTGTTGTTGTAGATATTGTTTTTGTTTCATGAGTATGTTATGGCTTGTTTGGGGGGGGCTTTTGTTAAATGCGGCTACTGCTGCTGCTGCAGCGACTGCGCCTGCTTTTGTTTTCTCGTTTGTTTGCTGGATTTTGCATTAAACAGTTGACGCAGGCTCTGAGAGTGACACACAAAATGCGGGAAGCGAGGGAGCGAGATGGGGCTATAGCGATTTACGATTTATCAATCGCGGCATGCAAATCGTTTTTCATTAACAGCAATTATTATTTAATTATTGCATTAAGACATGCTAAACGACAGCGGCGACGTCGCTGCCAATCCACCGAGACAGAGATTGAGACCGAGACCCAGACCCAGACCCAGACCAAGATCAAGGAGCACACATACACACACACACACAGTCACAGCCATTGAAGGAGGCGTGGCTGAATAGCAATTTCTAATGAAAGTTGAAAAGCGCTACTCATGCGATTGGCTGAAATGTGTCAGTCCCACGCCCCACTTCCTCGCCACCAACAACAAGACAGGCAACAAACGTCAACAGCATCGAGCAAGTTTGAAGCAAGTTCGAAGCGGCAACGATGCTGCGCAGCCAGCGACCGCAACAGCAGCTGCGACGCAGCGTGCGCAGCACGCTCACCCACACATACCACGAATAGAGCCGAAAAAAGCTTACGATTGATATGAAGCTGCAGCTTCGTTTTATTAACTCCCTCTCTCTCTCCTATTGTGGTGCTCTCTCGGCGCCGGCGCAACGCAAACAGCTGCTGCTGCTGCTGCTGCGACGCTGACGTTGACGTTGACGGCGTGTAAACAGGATCTGAGCGTATATTACGTAGCGGCTGGCTTTAAGCCAACATCATTACCAAGCCGAACGCCAACAACAGCTGCCGTCGCTCCACACACACGCTCCACGCTCCACTCTCCAAACGAACATCGAGCAACGATCTCCGATAACGAGCAGCTGTTTTTGGGCCCGTTGTCAGTGCCAGAGTTATCTGGCCGCATCTCTGCCAAAACGCAAATTTCCAACGCAGCGGCGCCCCTCTCCCGCCCCGCCCCATCACAAGCACCCCCGCAGGGCAGCGACAAGTGCAAAAAGTGAAGTGAACTCCACATACGAAAGCATCGTTTCGCCATTGTCGTCGTCGTCTGCTCTCTCGTGTCGCGTTCGTGTTACGCTCGTGTCTCGTTCGTTTCTCTCTGTCGCGCGCTCGGCTTGCGCGCCGCTTCAAGTCCCATTGTAAATTACTTGCAAAGTAAAATTTAGTCTCGGCTTTTAATACCGTTTTAGTGCGTTTTCGAGTTGGTCGTGTTTTTTGTTACCAAAAAAAAACCAAATAAAGAAACTTAATACAGAAAGGCTTAATTCTGCGGCTGTGACAATTCCAAAATAAAAAATTACAAAATCAAGTTAACTTAAATATCAGATAAACCTTTTTTTTTCGGTTTCCTTAAACATTTCACAATAACTTTGCGGAACAATCGCAAGCAACAACAATTCTATTTCGCACGTCCTGCGCAATAATTATTGGCAGACTTTATCAGAGACTATCATCAACAAAAAAACTATTTTTTTTTTATAATCTGACATTTTGAAAATTAAACGGAAATGTAAACTACTCGCCCCCGCCAACTGAGCCTCGCTTCCTGTAAATTAAGAAAAAGCATTTTTCGGTTTCGCACGCCGCAAAGAGACAAATTTTGCAATAAAATTTGAAAGCAACAAACATTACATAACACTTGACTGCAAGTACAAAAATACATATTTAAAAGTATCATAAATAATTTAAAGATATAATAAAATACAAAACGATAAACAACCATAAAATAAACAAAAACCATACAGCCCAAAACAAATTCAAGACGGAAGTGTATTTTTTTTCCCAAAGCCGCGCATCCTGTTTGAGCTTTTCGCGCACACACACACACACACACACACACACACACAGGCACAGACACACGCACACACACACTTTGAGACGCGTAACTGGCTCGCGCTCTCGCACACGTATAAGAGTTGTGGAAACGGTAAGTTGCGTACTGTAATTGCCATTACATTCAAATTTTGATTTTGTTAAATGCTTAGCATAAGTAGCACAGAACCGAATCTAGGTATAAGAGAGCGCTTATAAGAGGCGGCAGCAAATGCAAATGCAAATGTTATGCTGCAGCTATTATAAGTTGGCATAACATATGTAACCGAACTCAGTGCTGAAAATGCAAGCAGTATAAGACTGCTGAGTATAAGAGCGGCAGTCTTGAGCGTAAAATTGCAAAAAAAAAAAAAAGAAAAATAAAAGAAAAATGAAACCAAAGCACAAATAACAATAATAAACAAACATTGCAATGTGCAATATTGCACATAGTGTGTTTTAGTAACAGAAACCATAAATAACGCCGCGTCTCAACTAACTCTAAGTATATTATCAAACAGTTCTAATGAAAACAGAGAAACACCCACTGCCACACACACACACACAGACGCACACGCACACAGACACAGGTGGTGAGCAGGTGTGGGGCAAGGGCGGCGACAGCACGCGCGCTGTGCAGTGAGTTCATAAACAAAAAAGCAATAAAAAATATATAGTAAACCAACAAAAAGAAAATAAACAAAATATAAATAAATAAGTATACAACAAATAAATTGCATTGCCCAAGCGCATGCCAATTTTAAATGCCCAAAAAATAAATAAAAATAAAGAAAGGAAATGTGTGCAACCCCCTTCAACTGCACTACACTACAATTTTGGGCTGTTCGTCAACCGTGTCGCGTGTGCCGAGTCACCCCAACCCGTCCATAGCCCAGGGTAATTGACATCTGGACAGTTCAGACGCTTTGCCACAAAGATTCGATGCGGCAAAAGGCAAGCACAAAAGCTACAAAAATAATAAGAATAATTATAATACTAATAATAATCATAATAATAATAATAGTAAAAATAATAATAATAATAATAATAATAATAGCAGCAGCTGCCGCAGCGTTTCAATTGTTTTTCAATTAATCATGCCAAGGCCGAAGGGAGCGCGGGCTGGGCTAGCTCGGATCGCATCGATATTCGCCCATTGCCCAAATGTGGCCATGTGACGCCCAATGGAGCAGTGCGAATGTATCTTATGGATACGTCCGCTGTTATGGATACCTTAGCTGTTGTGTTTGGCATGCGCGGCTGCATGAACTGTCTGTCTGGTTATTTAAGCGCTCAACGCACATGCGCAGTTTTTCAATGCCCAAGCACACACACACACACACACACACACACACACACACACACACACACACACACACACACACACACACACACACACACACACACACACACACACACACACACACACACACACACACACACACACACACACACACACACACACACACACACACACACACACACACACACACACACACACACACACACACACACACACACACACACACACACACACACACACACACACACACACACACACACACACACACCACACACACCACACACACCACACACACCACACACACACACACACACACACACACACACACACACACACACACACACACACACACACACACACACACACACACACACACACACCACACACACCACACACACCACACACACCACACACACCAACACACACACAGCCTTAGCCTAGGCTTAAACAGCTCCAAAGCAACAACAAAAATCAGCATAGAAAACTTTCACTGCTCGCGACGTTCCAGTTTCAGTTTCAGTTTTCGATTTGCTTGAAGATGCGCCCAAAATGCGACACAAAATTCAAAGTCCAATAGATAAATGTGTGTGTCTTTTTTTTCCAATTTTTTATTTGTAAAGCTACGAGCGGATTTCCGCCGCTGTAAATTGTACACTTCCAAGACAATTTGCATAAATACATGCGGACGATAACAAATCACCTCAGAAAACATACACACGCAAACAAAGTTCTAATTAAATGTTACAACTGCGAACAAAAAAAAAACTAATTTGCATTTTTTGGAGAACGACAAAAAGGTGAGAAAATTATTTCTACAATAATTGCGACAGTCGAGTCAAGTGCCTACTTGAGTGGAAAATCAATGCACTTCCGCAAAATCGCCAAACGCACACACACACACACGCACACACACACACGCATCTATAGCAGTTGCAGATACTCGTACGAAGATACACAGATAAACAGGAGACAAACAAACAATTTGACGGGCGCGCAAACTTTTTAATTATTTATAGCAGCAGCGACGCCAGCTGCGACAGCGACGCCGACTGCGACGTCAATATCAGAATTCACACTGCACATTGCATTAAATAAGTTAACAATTTCGAACTGCGCATAGCTATATACACATACATCTTCCAAGCTTAACCCAAAGATAACTGAAATGAACTCTATTAAATTTGTTAAAGATTAACATGAAATATATATATATATATATATGCATTAATATATTATAATTAATACATTTTAAGTTAGATTTTATAAAAACATATTTTCTGTCAATTTTGTTTAATAATTTTATTTGTTTGAATTCTGTCCAAAATTGGCCTAAAAATGCATACTAAAAGAATTTGTCCTAAAGAAAATACTACAAAATTCTATATATATATATATATATATATATATTGTACAGTTCTTGGTCGTCCAATTAATATGTTTCAAAAGTTCCATAACATAATCAAATTAAATATAGCTTTTTGCAAAATATTTGCCTACAACATTTTCCAATAAAATAGTTTTTAATTGAAGAGCAATTTTCATGGGCTTCATTAATGTTTACATACAGAAAGGGATAATTTATAAGCTGCCTAATAAATATCATATACAATTTATATATAGACTTTAGCCACAAAATTTATTGTTTAGCTCACTGTGAAATTATTTGGCAGCTGACAATTTGAGCGAATGATCAATATAACAGCCAGTAAAAAGGCAATATTTTAATTTGTGGACATTTTTCAAAGTATTTTAAATAAATCACTGAATGTCATTGATATCCATTCAAAATAATTAAAAAGCAAACAAATGTAGAATAAATCAATAAAAGAACAAGTACGCATATTATCAATCAACATTTGTCGTAAAACAGTTGTATAACAGCTTGCAACTCTGTTAAGCAGCTCTGTTAATCAGCTGTTATTTATGTTATGTTATGCTTAACTCTGCTCTGTTTAACATATGATATTGTTTTATCCATTAAATAGGACCCCATATGTATGCCTAGGGTATTTTTCAGTCTGGCTTTGCGAAACATTCGCCTTGCTTCTTGGCAAATTTGCAATGAAAATAACATGCATTTTTCTTTGTTTTTACGAATTTTGTTTGGCAAAGTGCAATTTAATTAAAACATATAGTAACTGTATGCATATATATATATATAAATATATTCCATCTGTTATTTATAATTGCATTTACACATATACATATACATTTTGCATACGTGCATTTTGCATATTCCTGTCGCTGCATTGATTTCATTGTTGTTAAATGCACGACAAAATAACTTTCGCCCTTTTCATATTTCGGCCTGCAATAAGCCTTGTGCTTTTTGCTGTTTGTTTGCCTTTTGTTGCTATTAATTTGCTGTGCACATTTTGCGCAATTTCTTGACAACAACGTCGACGACTCCTTCGTACTGTTTGTGGCTGGCGGATGACGTGTGGTTGTTGTGGCAAAATGTTGATAATAACTTTTTGTCTCTCAGTCTCTGTCTGATTGTTGGGCTTGTTATCGCAGCGATCGTTTACACAATGCCGCCGCCTGCTGCTGCTGCTGCTGCTGCTGCTGCTGCTGCTGCTGCTCATCATCAACAACAGTTGGCAGATTTACTTTATTACTCATACGCCATGTGCGCCTGCGCCTGCGCCTGAGTCTGCGTCCGCGCCCGCCCTCTTTGGTACGGCAGGTGCCAAACAAGCGTACAAATATTTGAACATGCCCGTTAATATAATTTGCAAATGATTTATGCGTACTTGCAGCCAGGTAGGCATACAGGCGGGCAGGCAGGTACCCAGGCAGTCAGGTAGTAAAACGAGCAAAACTGGAGCGTCTGAGCTTCTTTTCAGGTTCTTTGCAGCTAGTTTACTCGCATGTTATCACTTCATTAAGAGTCAAATGTTGCCAATTGACTTGCCGAGATATGCCTTGAAAATCGGGCAACATCATTGAACAACATGAACGAACTTTAACAAAAGACGTCGTGCATATCTTAAAAAAGAAATCACATTAAAAGAGACGGCTGCCAGCCGCTAATTAGCATGTCAAATAACCAAAAAAAGGAAAGATGAAAAAAATAGCTATGAATATCAACAATTTGATGGCTAATCAGTCTAATAGGCTGACAAAAACCACAACTGAGACATATAACATATATAGTATATGCAGATCAAGCAAATGCGAAAGGCTTTAGCCTTAAGTTGGCACACTCGACAATTTTCACTTAAGCACTTCAACGTGTCGAAAACATTTAGCATTATCAGCTCAAATCGTACAAGAATATCGAAATGGTCAGGTAATTGCTATTTGGAGAACCCGTGCTAAACATGTTTAATTAGAAGTGTACACTCGAAGATAAAACTTGCTGTTCAAATTTGAGAATTTCGATTATTTGTTTCAATCAAATCGAACTTTAGCCAAGAAAACTTCTTGATAGTTCTTAATCGTAGATTAAACAATAAATCAACTTGATAAATCTTAATTCAAGACTTCTGAAATAACAGTTCTGGAAGAACTTCAACAATATACACTTGAAGAAAACATGCAGCTTTATTCTAAGCCAAATTTTTTCCTTTACACAAATACTATTTTTTTAATGTTATCTCTGATTTTGACTGAGACAGACTTGAGACAGAAAGAAAAACAAGCATAAGAAAAATCTGTTCATTTCTCTAAGTGTACAGCCCCTCTACGGCTTAGAAAATAAGATATTCACCATTAAATCGATGTAACATAAACAACATTTTGTGTATATTTCTCTGAGTGCACGCCTTGCTGCAAGCCAGACGAGTTCTATAATGCCAATTGGACTTGTT